TAAGGGCCCAAATCCCCCTTATTTGGGGCTTGGGGGGGAAAGGGGGAAAAAGGGGGGGGGAAAAAAATTTTTCCCTTTCTTTTGTTTTTGTTTAAAAAAAAAGGGGGAAAACCCCCGGGGGGGGGGAAAAAAAAAAAAAAAAATTTTAAAAAATGGAAGGGGGAAAAAAAGGGGGGGGGGGGGGGGAAAAAAAAAAAAAAAAACCCTTTTTTGGGGGGAAAAATTTAAAAGGGGGGGGGTTTTTTAAAAAAAGGGGGTTAAACCAAAAAAGGGGGGGGGGGGTTTTTTTTGGGGGGGAAAAAAAATTTCCCCAAAAAAAAGGGGAAACCCCCCAAAAAAAGGGGCAAAAAACCCCGGGGAAAAAAATTTTTTAAAAAACCCAAAAAAGGGGGCCGAGGGGGGGGGGGTTTTTGGGGGGGGAAAAAAATTTTAAAAAAATTTTTTTTTTAAAAATTAAAAAAAGGGGGGAAAAAAAGGGGGGGGGGGTTTTAATTAAAAAAAAAATTTTTCCCCCCAAAAGGGGCCAAAAGGGGGGAAAACCCCAAGGGCTTTTTTTTAAGGAAAAAAGGAAAGGGGGGGGGGGAAAAAGGGGGGGAAAAAAAGGGTTTTTTAAAACCCCCTTTTCATAAAGGGAAAAAGGGGGGGAAAAAAAAAAAAAAAAACCCCCCCCCAAAAACCGCCCCATTTTTTTTTTGGGGGGGGGTTTGGGCCCCTTTAAAAAGGGGGGGGGGAAAACCGGGGTTTTTTTTTTTCCCCCAAAAGGGGGGAAAAAGGGAAAGGTTTTTAAAACTTTAAAAAAAAAAACCCCCTTAAGGGGGGGAAAAAAAGGGTTGGGAAAGGGGGGGAAAAAAAATTTTTGGGGGGGAAAACAAAAAAGGAAAAAAAATTGGGAAAAAAAGGGAAAAAAGGGGGAATTTTGGGGGGGGAAAAAAAAAAACCCCCCGGAAAAATTGGGGGGGAAAAACAAAAAAAAAAAAAAAAAAAAAAAAAAATTTGGGAAAAAAAAAAAAAAAAAAAAAAAAAAAAAAAAAAAAAAAAAAGGGGGGAAAAAAAAAAAAAAAAAAAAGGGGGGAAAAAAAAAAAAAAAGGGGGGGGGTTTTTTTTGGGGAAAAGGGGGGGGAAAAAAAAATTTCCCGGTTTTGGGGGGGGGGAAAAAAAATTTTTTTAAAAAAGGGGGGAAAATTGGGGGAAGGGGGGGGGGGAATTGCCCCCCAAAAAAAACCGGAGGGGGCCGGTAAAAAAAAAAGGGGAAAAATTTTTGGGAAAAAAAAAAAAAACCTAAAAAAAAAAAAAAGGGGGGGAAAAAAAAAATTTTTTTTAAAAAATTTTTTTTAAAAATTGGGGGTTTTTTTTTTTTTTTTTTTTTTTAAAAATTTTTTAAAAACCCCCCCAAAAAAGGGGGGGGGAAAAAAAAAAACCCCACCCCCCCCCTTTTTGGGAGAATTTTTTTTAAAAAAATTTTTAAAAAATTTAAATTTTAAAATTTTTTTTTTTTTTTTTTTTTTTTTTTTTTCCCCCTTTTCCCAAAAAAAAAGGGAAAATTTTCCCCCTTTTTTTTTTTTAAAAAACCCTCAACCCCCCCAAAGGCCCCCCCTTAAAACCCCCCCCCCCCAAAAATTTTTTCCCTTTTTCCCCCCTTTCCCCGGCCCCCCTACCCCCCCCTTTTAAATGAAACCCTTTTCCCCCTTTTTTCCCCCCCCTTTTTAAAACCCCAAAAAAAACCCCCAAAAATTTTAAAAATTTTTTTCCCCCCCCCTTAAAAAAAATTTTTTAAAATTTTTCCCCCCCCCCCCCCTTTCTCCCCCCCCCTTTTTCCCCCCCAAAAAACCCCCAAACCCCCCCCAAAAAAGGGGGTTTTTTAAAAAAACCCCTTTTTTCCCCCTTTTTCCCCAAGGAAAAAATTCTTTGTCTAAAAAAAAGGGCCCCCAAATTTTCCCCTAAAAAAAATTTTTTCCCCTTTTTTTTTTTGGGGGGGCCCCCCCCAAAAATTTTTAAAAAAATTTCCCCTTTACCCCCCTTTTTCCAATTTTTCCCCCCTTTTTTTTTTTCCCCCCCAAAAATTTTACTCTTTCCTGCATTCACTTTTAATTTTCTTTTTTTTCATTCCTACCAAATTCAAACCCCCAAAACCCTGCCAAATTCTCTTTAGAAAACTCCCAAGAGCCCCAGTGTTTATCAGGGAAAGGGGCAATGTTTATAACTCCCACTTTATGTGTTTATTCTTTATGGCGAGGATGTGGAAAAAGTTGATGGAAAACCACAATGAAGAGCCCCAAAACCCCTGGGAAGGGGCTGAAAAACTTTTTTCTGCAAAAAGCAAAAGGCCATCTGAGGAAATTGCTTACAGAAGGAGGAAAAGGAGATGGAAGAAAGGGGCCTTCTTCAGAGAAATTTAAAGGGGATTTTTGTAATGTGGAGTAGGGTGCAAGATTTGGGGAGGAAAAGTCAAATTTAGAAAACTGATGCAGTTGTGCTGGTGACTTTTTTCAAGACAAAGCCCTGTTCCCTTTTTAGGGGGGGAATTTTAAAAAGGGGGACGCCAGGAAAAAAGAGCTCTTGGACCCAAATTTTTTTTTTGTGGGCAGGGGTCCCGTGACTCTCAAGCTGGCTAGTGGCAGTTAAAAAAACCCAAAAAAGGGAAGTGATCCAGAAGGGGCTTGGGACCTAAAGCCTTTGGGGGGGGGATTCTCCTACCAAAAAAAACCCTCTTCCCCCTTTCCCCCCTTACCCCCCCCCTCCCTGTCTTCCTTTTAAACCCAAAAGTCTTCAATAAAATTTAAAGGGGTTTTGCTGGGTTTTTCATTTTTTTTTCTGGGAAATCCATATTTTAAACTAAAAAAAAATTTTTTTTTTTTAATTAAACCCTTTTGGGGGGTTTTGGGAACAGAATTTGGTTTTTTCAAATTTTTTTTATGGGGGAAAGTGGGGTTTTAGTTTTTTTGTTTGGGGTTTTTTCCAGGGCTGTCTGGTAAAGGATTAAGATGGGTTACCGAAAGGGGCCATGATTTAAAACAAAAATTTCCCCGTTTTTTATTGTACTGATTAAAAAGGTACAGCATGTCCTTTTTCAAGGGCCCGAATGTCTGCATTTTCAGTAGGACCCCCTCTTGCAAAGTTAATTTTGTTCCCTAAAAAACAAAGGGAAATTTTAAATTTATGCAAATTTCCCGAAAAATAATACAGTGGGAAAACCCCAGCTTCCTTAACTCCATTAGAAAACAATTAAGATGAGTAAGTATAATTGTTAACCCCTTATGTTGGAACGTTGATCTGTTAGTGGGTTGGATTTTGTGAAGGACTCCCAAGTATGGGTCAACAGGCCTACTTCAGGTTCCTCCTTCTTATGTTTTATGTTTTTATCTTTTTACTTCCAGCCTCTTGCCAAGACCCTGCATTTACTTCTCTTACAACCCATTCTTAAATTATATTAAACACGGTGACTCACACATCCTTGTCAAAGGGCCTACTTTTACTGGGAAAAATTTCCCTTTTTTCCCTACTACTCTAATTGAGCCTCCTATCCGTAAAAAACTCTTCACTGCTTTCAGTAACCTTACTCTACACTTTAACCTGCAACATTGACTTGCCCCTATCCCCTGTCATCGCCTTTTCCAAATCCATAAATCCCACAAAACCTCTTGTTCCTTATCTTAATACTGTTCACTTATTATGTTTCACTGCAACCCTGGTTTCCCACACCCCCTACATTTCCTAAACCTCCTTGTTCATCGGCTATCATTCTCGTCTTATCAAATTCTTTCATAATAATCTACCATACACTTTCCGGTATACTCAACAGCTATATATATATTTATATATATATTATATATATATTATATTAATATTATATATATATATATTTTTATATTTTATATTTATTATTTATTTTTATATAAAAATAATATAATTTTATATATTATATTATATATATATATATGATGGGGTCCACCTCTGGTGTAAATTGTGGGACATAGCCTCGGAGAAGTGGATAAAGGCTTCAAGGAAGAATATTTGGATTTCTTCCTTTTAATATATTATAAAATTTTTAAATTATATACATATATATATATATATATATATTTATATATATATTATTATATTTTAATATATTATTATATATATATATATATATTGTTATATACAGATAGATAGATAGATATTGTAAATAGAAAGATAGATAGATAGATGGATAGATAGATAGATAGAGCAGTAAACAATATTATTAAAGCAGTCAGAAAGAATTTGGATCAGTCTCAGACTACGAAGTTTCACTAACCTTTCAACTCTTCGCTGATTCTTTTTTAATCTTCTGAAAAGTCTGTATATTTTTTTCCAGCTGTTATGTATCGTCATATTAAATTAGAGTCAGCACAAACACCTAGCAATAGTAGACAGTACGAACACTTCTCGGGCAATACAAGGTAGGAACAACACAAACAACGTCTTATCATCACCTAATATTATTTATTTAGCCATTGGAAATTACTTTGCATACGCAGTACTTTTGATAAATAATTTAATAATTTACCTTCAATTGATAAAATATGAAAAATGTCTTCGGGAAGCGCCGTGATGACGGGCACAGAAGTGCATGAAAGGTTGAGTAATGAATGGGAAGGGTGAAGAAAAACTGAGGGTAGAGATGAGAGGAAAAAAGAGTGATAATAGAGGTTAGAGTAAAGTGAAAGAGAATGTAAGGAGAGGATGCCCTTTAAGCACGACGTTCACAGATGACTGGTTTGACGTGGTGGCAGGCTACGTCGTGCCACTTAATGCCATCATTGTAGAAGTTGTTGAGGACGGCCAGGCAGTTCTCCTGACCACCCTCACGGTTGTCTGGCTGAGGTCGACGCAGTCTGTAACACAAACATCAACACTCATGACGTGGCTTATACCTTCTCAGATTATATTAAGTGCACTCACCGGTGTATGCTCCTCTAGTTGTGCAATTGAGAGCAAACCTAAAGCTCCTGACCTCATCCTTTAATCATTAATCAAATAAAGTTTTTTTTTTATTATTCATGTTTTTTATAATGTCATCTTTTGAATCCATGTATGTAGTGAGCATCGCCAACCTCTTGAACTTTAATTTATACTGTTCAAAAAAAAAAAAAAGATTCTTCTTCGCCCAGTGACTTCAGAAAATTCAGTTTCCATCTAGGTATAATAGTTCTGCTCTTTTCTACATTGTTAATGCCATATATGATCATACATGTTAATTATCATATACATTATCATATATATCAAATATCACATACCTTCTTACCCTTCGTTCTGCGAATGGAATGAGACTTAGAGATCGCTACATATCTTCAGGTTGTCTTCTTCAGCCGACAGGCCAGTCTGCTTGTAAATCCAGGAAAGTTCTTCAGTTTTTTTTACAGTCTGTTACACTACTACACTTACACACTGAGGTCCGGGGTTCAATTCTCCGGTAAGGCAGGAAACTTGAGGATGTGTTTCCTCAAGGCACCTGCTGTCCATGTTAATCCATAAGTAAAATGGGTACCTGGGTGTTAGTCGACTGGTGTGGGTCACATCCTGGGACAAAATTGCCCGAAATGCCCTACATAACAAGGGGCTTTCTATATAGTAGTATGTCATTGATGTCAGCTAGACCTGTATACCTTGTACATGTACTTGTAGAAATAAAGATATTATTATTGTTATTATTACTATTAATATTGTCTTCGGGTTATCTTCCTCAGGTGAAGGACCAATCTGTTTGTACAACCAAGAAATAAGTCACTCTGTCTGACTTTTTTGGGTAATCCTTTGTTCTTTACGCATATGCTGCTATGTATGATAATATGTGTAACTGTATTTGTGTTAATCTGAATAAACTTACTTACTTAGGAAGGCTCTTGAGTTTCTCTACAGCCTATTACACTACACTTTTTGGATTCCTGACTGAGCATCAACTTATGTAATGAATTTTTCAGTAACTGGGAGAGGTATACTGTATATGTCGGTATGCATGAACTGTGAGTTATGTGCTTAAACTAACTTAAAAGTTTAAACATGATTAAAAAATCTTGAATGTTTAAACTTACGTGTTTAAGCTATCCTTTTTAGTTACTGTATAAACATTATGAATTACTTCTTATAACTTTTGAACTGTTAGTCTCACTGTTTATTTCTGTTCATCCTGAGAGCTTCTCCTTTTTTTCGCTAACAATTATTATTACAGTTCGATCCCTATCCACCAATTTTTATTAACGTTTGGTTTCTGGATCCCCTCACTAAGACATCAATAAGAATACATATTTTTCGTCTCTCAGTTTGATAAGTGTTTGTCTAGCTGGAGTTTCCACACTTTCTTAGGCAGTGAAATCACGGTTCTGGTAAAGTGTGTTTTGGTGGAGTATCTGTTGTCGTGGTCAGTCACACGGCTGTCCACTTCCCTGTCTCACTTGTCCTTAGACACCACCAACTACTAAATACAATTCTTAATTTTTAAAGGGAGTGGACCGGTAAGCTAGCTGAAGACTTCGGTCAGATGACCAAAAACTCCAGTGGCGGGTCATCATGTGACTAAAACCCACGCCAGGAAACCCTTGTCCAGTTTCCTGATTAACCTCATCTAACCTAACTTCTAGCTGGCGCATCTCTGCTATGAACAGGTCACATTATGACGAAGACCAGTGTCTGTTATTTTTTCCTGACCAATTGGTTATGAATATACTCTACACTTCAACAGATATTTCATATAAACTAAGCGCAGTATAGGTCCTAGCCTGGAGCCCTGAGAGGCAACACTGGTTATATTCTACCACACAGAAGCCTTCATCTATAAGTTATCTAGCATGCTGGTATTACTTAAATTTTACTTCGTTAGTTACAACTGCCTGCGTCTCAAATTTGTGAAGTAATCTTTTGTGCGGTAGTGAATCAAAGCCTCACTTACTGTCTTTGTATATAGTGTGTAATGTCTGTGGGCTCGTGCTTGTGTTTGTGTGCGTGAGTGTGCAACTTACCCTCCGGTGTGTGACCAGTCAGCCACGCTGAAAGGTTCTCCATTCAGCCATTTGAAGCCGTTGCCAGACTTCACACCACCAGTCCAGATGTACTCCAGTCTTTCTGCAAGCACATAAATATGAAATTTATTTATCCTCCTCCTCTTGATTCGCCGGTACTCTCCCGGCCCGGGTCGTTTCCAGATGATGACCCGGACTTGGCTCTAAGCACGAACTTTGCGGGGAATAGATATAAAAAGTATCAGTAAAATGGAAAATATATTGAGATATTAAAGTAAACATTAAACAGCATTACAAAACAGGAAATAAACAGCACAAAATAGTCACTGGAAAAACCATACACGATAAACAAGAGATGCCAACCTCTGCCGACAATGCTGTTGACGTAACGGAGTTCGTCAGGGGAGCTAATACCCACAGGCTGCCACCCGCCGCCTAGACTTGTACACAAGCTAAAGGCAGCATTACCAGTGTACTTCCTGCCACCGTCGTGCCTCCAAGAGAAGTAGTAGGCACTGCCACCACGGACGTCATCTGCCTACAAACAAAGCGACCATATTTGATTATCAACATCAGTGTCATTCATTTGTTACCAAGAAGAAATCAGTGTTTTCTTACACACTCATTGTCTGTTATTTTACTTATATAAATTACCAGTAGTTAATAGCATCAGATTATTACTTTAACGACATGGGTAATGAAACATTATATATTCTTATTAGAAGCTTGTTGCCATGAATCTCAAAACAAGAAAGGAAACAAAGATAGATGGAACTACCACTGAAATGCTGAATACAGGTAGAAATAGTATATCAGGAAAGTTGGTGCTTCTGCGAATAAGAGATATAAAGAGGAAAGAGGAAATACGATCATAGTAAATCAAGTAAGATATGGATGTGAGGGGTAAAGACAACATACAGTAGAAAAACAGAAAGTGAACTTAAATAGGAAAATGGATATGCAGAGCAAGTGTTTATATGAAACCAATAAAAAGTACTAAAATAACAGTTGGGGGGGGTTTTTCCCCCCCGGGAAATTTTTTGGGGTTTCCCGGAAAAAACCCCCCTTCCAAACCCCCTTTTTCCCCTTTTTAAAAAATTTTTTTTTTTTCCCCTTCCTTTTTCCCCGGGTTTTAAAAAAACCCCCCCTTTTTTTCCCCCCCTTTTGGGGAAAAAAAAAAGGGAAAAAAAAAATTTTTAAAAAAAAAAAAATTTAAAAAGTTTAAAAAAAAAAAAGCAAAAAAAAATAAAAAAACCCAAAAAAAAAAAAAACCCTTTTAAAAAATTTTAAAGGGGGCCGGGGAAAAAAAAGGGGGGGCCCCCCCCTTTCCCCCCCCCCCAAAAAAAAGGGCCCCTTTTTAAAGGGGGCCCCAAAAGGGTTTTTTAAAAAAAAAACCCCCATTTAAAACCAAAAATTTTTTTTTTCCCAAAAAATTTTTTAAAAAAATTTTTTTTTTTTAAATTTTTTTTTTAAAAAATTTAAAAAAGGGAAAAAAAAATTTTTAAAATTTTTTTTTTTTTTTTAAAAAAAAAAAAGGGGGGGGGTTTTTTTCCAAAAAAAGGGAAAAAAAAAAAAAAAAAAGGGAAAGGGGTTTCGGAAAAAGAAAAAAAAGGGGAAATTTTGGGGGAAAAAAAAGAAAAAAAAAAGGGGGGGAAAAAAACCCAAAAAAAGGAAAAAAAAAAAAAAATTTAAAAAAAAAAAAAAAAAAAATTAAAAAAAGTTTTTTTTTTTTTAAAAAAAATTTTTTTTTGGGGGAAAAAGGGGGGTTTTTTTTTGGGGGGGGTTTTGGGGGTTTTTTTTCCCCGGCCCCCCCCCAAACCCCGGGGGGCCCCCCAAAAAGGGGGTTTTTTCCGGGGAAAAAAAAAAAAAAATTTTTTAAAAAAAATTATTTTTTTTTAAAAATTTAAAAAAAATTTTTTTTAAATTAAAACCCCAAAAAGGGGGGAAAAGGAAAAAGGGCCCCCCAAAAAAGAAAAAAAAAAAGGGGGGGGGGGAAAAAAAAATTTAAAAAAAAAAAAAGGGGTTTTTAAAAAAATTTTTCCCCCCCCTTTTTTTTTTTAAAAACCCGGGGGTTGGGAATTTGGAAATTTAAACTTTTTTTTAAAAAAAACCCTTTTTTTTTTTAATTAAAAAAACCCCCCCCCAAAAAAAAATTTTTTAAAAACCCACCCCCCCCCCACCCCCCCCCCACACCCCCACACACCCCAACCCCACCCCCCCCCCCCCCCAAAAAAAACAACACACCAAAAAAAAAAAAAAAAAAAAAAATTTTTTTTTTTTTTAAAAATTATTTTTTTAAAAAAAAATTTTTTTTTATATATTTTTTAAATATTTTTCCCCCCCCGGGGGGGGGGAACCCTTTAAAAAAAAAATTTCCAAAAAAAAAGTTCTTCCTGGAGCTTTTTGAATTTTTTTTTCCCCCCCCCTTTTTTTTTTTTTTTTTAAAAAAAAAAAAAAAAAAATTTAATTTTTAAAATTTATTTTTTCCCCCCCCCCCCAAAAGGGGGGGAAATTTTTTTCCCTTTGGGGGGGGGGTTTAAAAAAGGGGGCCCGGGGCCCCGGGGGGTTTTTAAGGGGTTCCAGTTTTTTTAAAAAAGGGGGTTTTTCCCCCCCCCTTTTTTTTTTTTTTTTTTTTGGGGGGTTTTGGAATTTTTCTTTTTTCCCCCCCCCCGGGAACCCTTCCCCCCCCCCCTTTTTTTTTTTCCCGGCCCCCCCGGAGGTTTTTAAACCCCTTTTTTAAAAAAGGGGTTTTTTGGGGGGGGGGTTTGGGGTTTTTTTTGGGGGTTTTTTGGGGGGGGGGCCCCTTAAAGGTTTTTTTTTTGGGTTTTTTTTTTCCCCCCTTTTTTTTTTAAAAAAAAAAAAATTTTTTTTTTTAACCCCCCAAAAATTTTTTTAAAAGGGGGGGGAGGGGGGGTTTGGGGGGGTTTTTTTAAAAAAAAAGGGGGGCCCAGAGTTTTTTTTGGGGACAGGCAGTCTTCTTGTCTGATATTACAGTCCTAAGCATGTTGGCCCAAAAACTTTTTTTAAACGATGGGGGCCATCCTAACTTGACTGTTTTTAGGCCCGTAATGCATAGATTTTTGGTTTCTGGAACAGGGGGAGAGGGCTCCCTTTTGGTAAAGGCACTGGCTTAATTTTGGGCCTGTATTTCCGCGAGTCACTGGGTTTTCCAAAAAAGAATTTGTTTTATTTTTCTTTTTTTGATGCTGGGGAAGAGAAAGGGAAAACTGGTAGGGGGGAAATTTGGGTTTTTTTTCACACTCCAGCCCCCAAGCCTAACTGGAAGTGTGGCTTGAAACCACTGTCTAGCATGGTTTTTTAGGGGGTCAATTCCTTTAGTTTCGGACTCCTGAAGGGGGTTTGGGGGAGCATTCGGTTTTTAGGTAAGTTTTGGGAAGGGACAACACCTGGTAAATAGGTAGAAGGCTTTGTGTGTTTCAGTGTCTTCATCCTGCCTTTTCCCTCGTCCTTAGGTCTGAAAAAATTTTTTCTAGGATCAGATCAAAAGGCATTGGGCCCCAAGAGGAAAACACCAAGGAGAGTGGTGGGTTTTCTGAATTAAGGGTCCCCTTTCTCCTCTTTTAAAAAAGAAAATATCCTCTTTTATTTGTTTAGGGCTTGGGAGAAATTATTTCGCATTTGGTTTTGGGGTTAAAAGATGGGCCAAAATTTTTCTCCCCTGTCTTTTTTTCTTCTGATGTCTTCTAGGAGGAATTTTGCAATGCCAAATAAGGTACTATTTACCAAAAAAAGCCCCGTTTTGAGCTCATTGGGAGAGCTTTCTGTGACTTCAAAGGGTGAAACCCGGCGAAAAGGAAAAAAGGGGGGGGAGAGGGGGTTTCCCCCGTTGCACCCCTCACAGGGTCAATTTCATGGTCCCCTAACAATAGTTAGGGGGTCATACCCGTAACACGATGTGAACCCTCTGAGTTTTTTAACTTTCCCGTTGGGTTTTCCTTGTTGGTGTGTTCCATCTCTGAAACTTTTTGTTACCCCCTTAACTGTTATCCCTTTTTAAAATCTTCCCCCATTTGGACAGTTTCCCCTTTGCTCCGGGACTAGTCTTGCGGCCCAAAAACCCTTTTCACTTTTTGTAATTTCATGATGTGCGGGGCCCGGTGTGGGTTCCGGGGTGGTGCCGCATACTCCAATATGCGCCTGACGTGGCCCCCGGTTTTAGTTTTCTTGAATGACTCCTTACTCAGGGGTTTCGAAAAAGCTATTATTAGGTTTGCCGGCACCTAAGGGGAAAAATTCTGAAAAAGATGTCCCAAAATCCCTTTTTTCCCCGAGTGGGGTTTGAAACCTTCGGCACTTTGCCTGGGACTCCAAATTTTTCCCTTTTTCTATGACTTGCCCCGACTTTTTTACTTTGGAATTATTGGGGGGTTTTTAAAATTTCCCGGGGCCAGTTGTTGAACATGGCTTTCAGCCCGCCCCGGGTTCCTTTTTTAGGGTACTTGATCCTCCCTCCTTTGAATTTTTGCCCCCATTTTTGTTTCTCGTCGTTTTACGTTTTACCCGAAAAAAGTACCAGCCCTAGGGGCTGACCTTTTGGGGGGCCCGCTCGCACAGGCGCTCCCAAACTGACACCTGTCACTTTTCCTTAAATCGTCGTTTCCTAATGTCCCGGTATTTTTTTTATCCATTGCAGTGTCTTTCCCGTTATACCCGCCGCTCCCCTTAAATTTTGCAGTTTAAATTTTTTTTTTGCCCAAAAATTCGTTTGAAAGGTTTTTTTCAGTCCCTTTAACTGCTTCTGCCCACCCCCCTTTTCTCTCTATTTTACTTCCCGTGACCTTGTCGAAACTCCCAAAAGGGTTTTTGACACGGATTTTTTCCCCGAAACCGTGCTGGTTTCGGGTTTTAAGTCATTCCTTTCTAGGTCTCCCCCCTCTTTTCCTGGTTATCTTTTTCCTTTTACTTTGGGATACTCTACAGTCGTGGCCTTTGGGCTGTAGTTTAATTTCTGCGTCTGTCTTTCCCTTTAAAAAATTTGGGGCTATATTTATTGGTTTTAATGAAGGGTATACAATTTCCCCCAAGATGAAAATTTGGGGGGTTTTACAACAAATTTTGGGGATTTTTTATTGTAGACGTTTCGCCTTCCCCGGGCTTTATCAAAAACAAAAAATTTAAAGGGCATACTTGGAAGACAGAGAACTTTATACAAATTTGAGGTAATTTGCCCCCCAGCCCCTTGGGGGTGGTGAAGGGGTACTGCAGTCGTTTTAGGTCTGAAGCAAAGGGGGTGATGTTTGGCGCTTTTTTTACTGTGTCAAGTGTGGGGGTTGAGGATGAAGACATTGTCACGGGAAAGATGGAATTTCCCCCGTGGGGAAGGTTTAAAAGGTTTCCCTGCCCGTCCCCCCGGGCATGAAGGGTTCCACTGGAAATTCCCGCCTTTCCAGTGACAATGTTTTTCGTCACTACACGTCCCTCATTTTGTCGCCCGTATAGCAGCTCCATTTTTCAAGCTTTGGCTTTTACTTTTTAAAAGGCCTTTGGGACTCTTTTCCAACTCCCAAAGGGTAAGAGACTGTTCCCTTTATAAATTTTGATATAATTCTTCTTTCTTCCAAAACTTTGTCTTTGAAATTTTTATTGTTTAAAACCCCTGGAGAGCATTACAATAAAGATACCAGATGTTGCACAAAGTGTCTAAAATTTTTATATTTTCTGTATTATGCAAACCCCAAACATTTTCCCTGTTTCGATAGTTTTGTCGAAGTTTGTTTTTAGTGGCCCGCACACAGTGCTTCTGCTCCCTCTCTCAGAACCACGGAGAAATGTCCAGTACCACCTCCTTTGAGGCATTTAGTTCACTTAGCAGCGTCTTCACCTACTCGGTTGTAGAGTGTGTCCAGCACTTGTTGGTGTACCCTACCATCCTGGTTTGCTGGAGTCTTTTCTGTCTCCACTGAAAATACTTCCTTAAATCCCATGTTGAGCTCTTCACATACTTTATGGCCGTTTCTTGTGACCTCTCCTCCTTCCTTCCTCAGACTGATTACCTGGTCCTTGACTGTGTTTTCCTCCCGATGTACGTGTACAACAGCTTTGGGTCAGATTTGGTTTTCGATCCTATGTCATTCTCGTATTGCCGCTGAGCAATGTGTGTGTGTGTGTGTTCAGATTTTATATATATTAATATTTTTCACATTACAAATAATTTCAGCAGACTTACCTGGACACCAAATGTCTGAGGTGGGCCGCTGAAGAACTGCCTCCGAGGTGGGAAACCAAACTGTTGGAACTGACACGCTGCCAGTCCCACCACACTGACCAGTAATACCAATTTCATCTGGAAAATAAATTGTGGGTTATATCCTGCACATATCTGCTCAATCTTTGTAATATTTCTCACTGCTCAGTCCTCTGCCACTGAATTATCTTTAAACATAGGTGGAAAATAAGCCCACTCATCCTATGTGCCTCTGGCGGGCTTGGAGACTTAAGACCTGGGTGCCCATACTGGGTTTTAGACCTAAGACCTGGGTGCCATACTGGGTTTTAGACCTCAGATCTGGATACCCTTACTGGATTTTAGACCTAAGACCTTCGTGTCCTTAGCGGGCTTTGAGACATAAGACCTGTGTGCCCTTACCAGGGATTGAGACCTAAGATCTGGGTGCCCTTACCAGGGATTGAGACCTAAGACCTAGGTGCCCTTATCAGGAATTGAGACCTAAGAAGAGGGTGTCCTTACCGGGTATTAAACCTAAGATTTGGGTACCCTTGGCGGACTTTGCGACCTAAGACCTGGGTGCCTTTACCGGGTTTTGGACCTAAGACCTGAGTGTCCTTAGCGGGCTTTGAGACCTAAGGCCTTGGTGTCTTTACCAGGAATTTGAATCCTAAGACCTGGGTGCCCTTATCTGAGTTTTGAGACCTAAGACATAGGTGACCTTACATTAGTTTTGAGATCCAAGACATGGGTTCCCTTACCAGGGTTTTGAGATCTAAGACATGGGTGTCCTTACCAAAGTTCTGAGGCCTAAGGCCTGGGCTCCCTTACCGGGGATTAAAACCTAAGACCTCGGTGCCCTTACCAGTTTTTGAGATCTAAGACCTGGGCTTCCTTACCGGGGATTGAAACCTAAGACCTGGGTGCCCTTACCAGGGTTTTGAGATCTAAAGCCTGGGTGCCCTTACCAAGGTTTTGAGGCCTAAGACCTGGGTTTCCTTAACGGGGATTGAAACCTAAGACCTGGGTGCCCTTACCAAGGTTTTGAGACCTAAGACATGAGTGCCCTTACCAAGGTTTTGAGACCTAAGACCTGGGTTTCCTTACCGGGGATTGAAACCTAAGACCTGGGTGCCCTTACCAAGGTTTTGAGACCTAAGACATGAGTGCCCTTACCAAGGTTTTGAGACCTAAGACCTGGGTTTCCTTACCGGGGATTGAAACCTAAGACCTGGGTGCCCTTACCAAGGTTTTGAGGCCTAAGACCTGGGCTTCCTTACCGGGAATTGAAACCTAAGACCTGGGTGCCCTTACCAAGGTTTTGAGATCTAAGACATGAGTGCCCTTACCAAGGTTTTGAGACCTAAGACCTGGGTTTCCTAACCGGGAATTGAAACCTAAGACCTGGGTGCCCTTACCAAGGTTTTGAGGCCTAAGACATGAGTGCCCTTACCAAGGTTTTGAGGCCTAAGACCTGGGTTTCCTTACCGGGGATTGAAACCTAAGACCTGGGTGCCCTTACCAGGGTTTTGAGACCTAAGACCTGGGTGCCCTTACATGTGATTAAGACTCACGCTGGAAGGGAGAGTCTTCCTTCAAAATTTTGTGTGACTCTCTGATATTATTTGATATAGAATATGACCTGGCATTATGGCGTCTTTAATATGACATTAAACTTGTGTGATAGCAACAGTGATTACCAGGAGCACATAGCTAAGATAGCTGATAATTGTTAATTACCAGGAGCACATAGCTAAGATAGCTGATAATTGTTAACTACCAGGAGCACATAGCTAAGATAGCTGATAATTGTTAATTACCAGGAGCACATAGCTAAGATAGCTGATAATTGTTAATTACCAGGAGCACATAGCTAAGATAGCTGATAATTGTTAATTACCAGGAGCCTCATAGCTAAGATAGCTGATAATTGTTAATTACCAGGAGCACATAGCTAAGATAGCTGATAATTGTTAATTACCAGGAGCACATAGCTAAGATAGCTGATAATTGTTAATTACCAGGAGCACATAGCTAGATAGCTGATAATTGTTAATTACCAGGAGCACATAGTAAGATAGCTGATAATTGTTAATTACCAGGAGCACATAGCTAAGATAGCTGATAATTGTTAATTACCAGGAGCCATAGCTAAGATAGCTGATAATTGTTTAATTACCAGGAGCACATAGCTAAGATAGCTGATAATTGTTAATTACCAGGAGCACATAGCTAAGATAGCTGATAATTGTTAATTACCAAGAGCACATAGCTAAGATAGCTGATAATTGTTAATTACCAGGAGCACATAGCTAAGATAGCTGATAATTGTTAATTACCAGGAGCACATAGCTAAGATATCCGAGAAATTTTAATTAACATTAGCACATAGCTGAGATTGTTGAAAAAATTTAATGGCCAGGGAAACATAACTAAGATTGTTGAAAGTTGTTAATTATCAGGAACGCATAGCTAAGATTGTTGAAAATTGTTAATTATCAGGAACGCATAGCTAAGATTGTTGAAAATTGTTAATTATCAGGAACGCATAGCTAAGATTGTTGAAAATTGTTAATTACCTGGAGTGCATAGCTAACATAGCTTGATATTGTTAATTAGAACAGATAATTAAGAGTGCTAGCAAGGTTTTCATGTTAAAAATTTTGAATAGCCAAACGATTAATTCATCTCCGTCCGTTTTAAAACTCCAATAATTCATCCTTTATTAAACTGTCTTGTACTTCCTTCTTAATGCATTATATAATCATCATACATTAATATATTTCTTTTTTTCAAATTCAAAGTATGATAATTAGTTACTTATAATGATTCGGATTGTCCAACATTGTTATGAATATGATGAGTTATGAGTAAGCTGCTCTCAATGAGCTGTATATGGTACACAGTACAGGCAACTGTGTAGTGAAATCAACTCACTGTTACTGTGAGCAACTCACTGTTACTACAAGCATCTCACAGTAATGTGGATTGCTTGCACTAACAGTGAATTGCTGCACTACACAGTAACTTGTTTGCACTATACAATGAGCTGTTTGCACTATACAGTGAGTTGTTTGTACTCTGCAGTGAGTTATGTGCATTATACAGTGAGTGCCTTGCACTATACAGTAAGTTCCTTGCACTATACAGTGAGTTGTTTGTACTCTGCAGTGAGTTATGTGCATTATACAGTGAGTGCCTTGCACTATACAGTAAGTTCCTTGCACTATACAGTGAGTTGTTTGTACTCTGCTGTGAGTTGTGTGCATTATACAGTGAGTTGCTTACACTATACAATGAGTTCCTTGCACTATACAGTGAGTTGCCTGCACTATACAGTGAATTGTTTGCATTACACAATAAGTTACTTGTACTACACAGTGACTTAAACACAACTATCAAGACAAGTGATAAAGACTATTTTCCAGAGGTCAAATATTAAAGGTGTTACTTGGTACTTGTAATCAGGTGGAGATCAAACATTTCCTCATGAAGCTTCTCTATGAGTTGAGCCAATAACATGTAGACAATAACATGTAGACAATAACATGTAGACAATAACATGTAGACAATAAAAGCTTGACTGAAAGAAACAGCTTGTGTCTTGTTTGTAGACACTGTCACAGAGATCAAGTGTCTTGTGTGTGATGACGGGGAAGTAGACATTCACTGCACGGAAACTGTATCGGGAAAATCAATTGGATTTTTTTCTCACTCTTCATCGCAGGAGAAAGAGGCGGAGTCATTTGGCATTGCATCTTGTGGGAGGTGCTGGTCAGTCAGTGGGGTCTTGACTGTATTCACCTAGTTGTATTCACCTAGTTGTACTCACAGGGGTCGATTCATAGCTCCTGGCCCCGCCTCTTCACGGGCCGCTACTGGGTCACTCTTCCCGCTCCATCTCAGTGATAATTCGGCAAGTGGAAGTGTATACGTAAGGAACTATTATATTAAGTTCCGTAGTGTTCCAGCAGTGAACATAGAATGCAACACTTTCATGTAAAGACTATAATTATCAGAAGGTCTGGATTGTCTAAAGAAGTTTTGTTGCAATACGTATTTCCAACTCACTGGGTTTATATTCTCTGGAGCGTATGTAACTGTTCTTAAAAATAAACTGAGATTAAATAAATATATTAAACTCTGATACTGAGTCAGTAGACAACACATGTGACACAAAACAAGCGAATGAAATACATTTACATGAGAATTGACTTTCATCTCCGGCGAATACTAAGAGTTGAGCTAGTATGTGTTGGCTTTATTTAATTCAGTGATACACTGAAGAGCTGTGTTGCGTGAGTGATACACTGAAGAGTTGTGTTGTGTGAGTGATACACTGAAGAGTTGTGTTGTGTGAGAGTGATACACTGAAGAGCTGTGTTGTGTGAGTGATACACTGAAGAGTTGTGTTGTGTGAGTGATACACTGAAGAGTTGTGTTGTGTGAGAGTGATACACTGAAGAGTTGTGTTGTGTGAGAGTGATACACTGAAGAGTTGTGTTGTGTGAGAGTGATACACTGAAAAGTTGTGTTGTGTGAGAGTGATACACTGAAGAGTTGTGTTGCGTGAGAGTGATACACTGAAGAGTTGTGTTGCGTGAGAGTGATACACTGAAGAGTTGTGTTGCGTGAGAGTAACACACTGAAGAGTTGTGTTGTCTGAGAGTGGCATTTAAACATGTAAAAACTCTGCTTATAGTGCTCCTGTCTTACAGTCCCAATTTTTCACTGCCATTTTCTCTACA